TTAATGTTCTGAGAAGAAAGGGGACAGTATGGTTACTATATTCTACTAGATTACCAAATAAGCACATTCAAATATTTTCAAGTGTCATATAAAAGATTTTTAAAATTCTGGTTCTAGGGGTAGGGGTTTAGCATAGCAGTTAAGATCCTCATGTACAGGGGCTGACCATGTGGCACAGTAGGCTAAGTCTCTGCCTGCTGCACTAGCATCCCATATGGGCACTGGTTCATGTCCCAGCTGCTCCTCTTCCTATCCAGCTCTCTGCTATGGCCTGGAAAAGCAGCGGAAGATGGCCCAAGTGCTTGGGACCCTACAGAAGAAGCTCCTGGCTTCAGATTGGCCCAGTTCCAGCTGTTGTAGCCATTTGGAGAGTGAACCAAGGGATGGAAGATCTCTGTGTCTCTCTCTCTAATTCTACCTTTAAAATAAATAAATAAATTTTTAAAACAAACCAAAAAAAGACACTCGTGTCCCCCATCAGAGTGCCTGGCTTCAATTCCTGGCTGTGGCTCCTGACTCCACTTTCTTGCTAATGCAGATCCCACAAGGTAGCCAGGATGGCTCAAGTAAATGGGTTCCTGCCACTCACAAGGGAGACGTGGATTGAGTTTCTGGTTGTCCACTTTGGTCCCAGCCCAGTCTCAAGCATTGTGGACATCTGGGGAATGAACCAGCAAATAGGAGGCTCTCTTTCTCTGTCCTCAAATAAATATTTTAAAAGGCATCTATAGCAATTTCGTTCTGGATTATATTATGCAAGTTGGCCTAAGAATTCCTTCCCTCCTAAAACCTAGTTAGTTATTTACTTGGCCTTTGCATGAAATAATCTATGATATTCCCTAACCCCTCAAGTTTTTGACAGCTTTGGATTTCTCTTTGGTGAAATGTGAAAAACACATAGGATTATAATTGATTATACCAAATCAACAAACGATTGAGTACTTAAAAAAAAAAACAACTGAGAAGTCTGTGTTAACCAAACAGTCCTTCAGTTTTTAGTTTCTAAAGAGGATATAAATTAAGCTTTGGCGGGGGCGGGGGGGGGGGGAAGCAGGAGAGCACTTTCTATTGGTTTGACATTGTGAAGGTCAAAGCAAGCACTGCAATTAAGTTTTGTTCTACAACAATGGCAATGGTATCCTTTCTTTTCAAAAGTTTTTGCCTGCTTCTCTTAAAACTGCTGAAAATAAAAAGGTAGTGTGTATTCCACAGTTCAGCATTTTCTAGCAGACTTAAAATATTCCAAAGTAAAAATAACAACATTGTAATTAATGTTTCCTCTAGTCTAAAACATACACATTTTTTTCATATCTTACTGTTTTAGAAAACCATACCTGTTTTCATCTACACATTTAATACAGTAAATTGTTTTTCCCCTCAAGAAATTGTTTTTAACCCAAAAGTATGTGAGCAAGCCAGGTTATATATAGTATATTTGATGTTTCTGAACAAAAATACTTTATTATCTAAAAACGATTATATAAAGTACAAATATCTTGGTTTTCAAAAAGAAAAGTAAGTTTACAAAGAAGGAATAAAGAAAAAAGTAAAAATCTTGGGACCCGCACTATGGCACAGCAGGTTAAGCCACCACATGCAGCACCGGCATCCCATATGGACCATGGTTCGAGTCCTAGCTGTTCCACTTGCAATCCAGCTCCCTGTTAATATCCAGGGAAGGCAGTGAAAGATGGTCCAAGTGTTTGGGCTCCTGCTCCCACATGGGAGACCCAGAAGAAGCTCCTGGTTCCTGGCTTTGGCCTGGCCCAGCCCTGGCTGTTGTGGCTATCTGGGGAGCGAACCAGTGGATGGAAACTGTGTGTGTGTGTGTGTGTGTGTGTGTGTGTGACTCTTTCAAATTAAGAAAAAAAAAGTAAATGTTTTCATCTTAGGTTCAAATATACAGAAACTTTGCAATTAATACCTTGTATTGCTAATTACTCTATGTATACTTTATTCAACTAGTCAGTGTGGGATGGAAGAAAACACAACTGGGAAAGATTAAGGAGAGGAACAGGAAGTAGTGAGAATGATACATGTATCTATCATGAACCCAGGAATTCTGTGTGATGTTTTGGGGGCTGTGAGTCCTCAAAAAATTGGAATTGCAGTGATAATACTAACACAAAAGAAACCACAATACAGTTTAAAAAGTGCTGAATACACAGCTTTGTGGGAGCACTTAACCCTTCTTTGCACAAACATATAGATGCTACCAGGAAGCCTTCTGGGAGGAAATAATGCTTACATTAAGACAAAGGGGGGAGGGGCACTGCTTGCAGTGTCAGCATCCAATACGGGTGCTGGTTTGAGTCCCGGCTGCTCCATTTCTGATCCAGCTCTCTGCTGTGGCCTGAGAAAGCAGCAGAAGATGGCCCTAGCCCTTGGGCCCCTGCACCTGCATGGGAGACCCGGAAGAAGCTCCTGGCTCCTGGCTTCAGATTGGTGTAGCTCCGGCCATTGTGGCAAATTGGGGAGTGAACCAGCAGATGGAAGACCCCTCCCTCCCTCTCTCTCTGCCTTTCCTTCTCTCTCTGTGTAACTCTGACTTTCAAATAAACAAATAAATCTTAAAAAGAAAAAAAAAAGACACACACACACAAAAAACGGAAAACAGCAATGTCCTTGATAATACTGATGGGGACTTCTTTTATCTATAAAGCTGTAAGTAATGAATTCTGCATGATATAAGCTCAGTAGTAAAGGCTATAAGGCTGATATACCTCTTAATTTACCTTTTTTCCATTGGCAGGGGTGGCAGAGGTTGAGGGAGAGAAGGTATGAAGGGGAGAGGAAAAGGCCAAGAACAAGTATAAGAAAATCTAACTGAAAAGAATAAAAGCAGGATAAATTAATAAATCATATGAACCCTGGTTTTGACACACCTTAGTTCAAACCTGGAATTCCAGCAGCTACTAGCTATGTGATCTTGGGTAGTACCTAACTCTCAGCCTCAGTGTCCTCTTCTACTACACAGAGCTACCAAGTCCAAGGGATATTATGAAGCTGAAATGGGATAATATTTCTTTATATGTCTAGTTGTCCAATTAGTTCTCCCACCAGATTATAAACGACAAGGGATGGAAACCATAAATATTTTCTGTATCACTGTTTAGTAAGTCTATGGCAAATGCCTGGCACACGTTAGACATTCAGTGGGTGCTAACATTAAGTTCTTTATTGTGACAATTTTAATTACAACAATTCCATAACCTCTGCACAGCACTGCAAGTTTGATTATATTCCCAAGAGATCAGAGATTATTAACTGGTTCCTTATCTCACTGTTAAACATTTATAAAATGAATACCCCCTTCTACTAAAACTTTTATTAATCTAAGAGCCACGAAGCCTTCCAAATATGAACAAAAACAAACATTTAGAAAAGCATGCCCTCGGAGACATTACATAGTTAAATCTATACGGAAAGGAAGGTATGAATATAATTTTTGACCTAACTCCAAAAGAAATTTCTCAACCAAGGGTGATTTTGCCTCCAAGGGGCAAATGACAAAATCTACATTTTTGACTGTTACAACTGGGGGATGAGAGTGTTACTGGCATCAAGTGGGTAGAGGCCATGGCTACACATCTTAGAATGCAGGATAGCTCCCACAACAAGAATTATCTAATACAGAACGCCAACGGTGTTCAGGTTGGGTTTAAAGGAACTGGAACACAGAAATGTAAAAATATAGAATTGCATAAACCTTTATGAGTAGGTTAAGTTTAACAGAGTTCATGTCTATTTCTGCAAATTACTTATTTTTACCAAGTTTTAGACTTTTTAAGATATGTGAAGGGACTTAGGGCTTTTTTTTGGCTAAAATATATTACAGATTAAGAAAACAAGCTCTCTCCCCTTTTCTCTCCTCTCCTCTCCTCTCCTCTCCTCTCTTTTCTCTCTGCCTCTCCTTCTCTCTGTGTAACTCTTTCAAATAAATAAATCTTTAAAAAAAGAAAACGAGCTCTCTGAAAAGTATTTTGTCAATGAAAATACATAAAAATTTCAAGTAGCTCAGAAAAACTGTATATAAAATGCTTAGTTTCAACACCTGCAAACAGAGTTCTTATGTTACCAGAGTAAGAATGCAGTCACATGAAGCTGAAAAACACATATGGCTTACATTTCTTACTGGTTTACTAGGACCTTTAATTTGAACATACAGATTTGAATAATGTGTTAATTTTATTCATTCATCTATGCACAGTGACAAGAACATATGGCACTTTGCCATTTTACTGTTTTCTTTGTTACTTTTTTAATTAAAATACCTACCTTCACATTATTAAATTTATGTTTTACAGCACATGTGCAAAAATAATCTATTAAAAACTATCAGGCTGTTTCACACATAGTAATGACATAACTAAATCTAACTTATGGCAGTGAAAATGAAAACATTAGTTATTATCAGAAATGGAATCTTTAGACAGAGATGTCAATGGTAAAAGATCACAAGAAGTTGATGTTATAATTTTTCTTGAGTATCTTTTAGAATAACATCTGTTTTTGGCCTCGTATTTGATAAAAATAGTATCAAAATACAATAAACTGATTTAAATATAAATTTTTGAAAAAAGTTCTGAATAAGAAATCCAAACCACCTAAAGGCTAATTGCTAGAGCTTTTCAGCTGAAATAATAATTCAAAAGGTTTTATAGAGTAGAAAAGTGTCCTCAGGGTAAAAACATCTACCTTATTTGAAGAAACCTTCTACATTATTAGAAAAATATTTTACATTAAAATTCAAGAGCAGTTCCATAATTTTGTCACATATGCAAATACCTTCAGTCTGAAAACTATGATGAAAATATATGTAACCAAAATACTAAAATAATTATTCTGATCACCAATCAATTTCACACAAAAAGTAAATTCAACAATTACAGCTTCAAAGACATCTGAATGACAACGTCAAAGACTCTTTTAAGCTATGTTGCATTTGAAAGGTCTAGACAATTACCCACATAATTTATCAATTTACGAAGTGATCATACCTCTTCAATACCAGCTATATTATTCACAGCCAGTTTTTTGAGAGAACTCTGAAGCTTTTTGTCATCAGCTGTAGCTGTTCTATGTACTACCTTCTTCTTTCTGCGAGCTGTACCCTGAAAAATAACCAAAGAAAGTGTCAGCATGTCTAGTAACTGGCAATTGCAATCAAGCTCCCTATCTGCTACAATAATCTATCTAAAATTCACATTAATAACTAATTAAATAATGACTGGTAACACTGCTCCGAGTTTTGTCAGCTTAACATAGATTTTTGAAGGTCAATTCTAGTTAGTTTTTATTCGTATCCAATATTCAGCCTTATCATTTCAATGTTTCAAAATATTGTTAATAAAACATACTCAATTTCAAGACAATTTAGTGTCCCCAATGTAGTGTACTTTAAAACATCATAAAGAATTTTTTCTTATTGTACCTACCACTCTCTGCCAATAAAGTCTAAATATGTCTTGAAACTTTAGGAATTATGGACTAATTGAGAATTAAATGATTATTATTTGAGTGTTCTAGAGTCAGAATCCAGGAATGAAAAAGATCAAGTTCATAGTTCAAGACGCACATATATTTACATGAGAAAAAAGTAAATACATATACACATATAAACAGATGACATAAAACAAGATAAAAATTATTAAGAAAACACAACAAAATACAAACACCACAATGATATGAGTGACTGGGTTGGAGCAAAGCACTATTTTACTAGTGCTTTAGACTGTCCGGGCAAAGTCCCTATGAAGAGATTGCATGATGAATTGAGAGCTACAATTAGGGGAAGAGTGATCAAAGCAGAAAGAAACAAGATTGAACTTGTCTTTTCAAGAGAGAAAGCAGGTCATTATGGCTACAGCAGAGTGAAAAATGAGAAAGGAAAATGAAATCAGAAAGATAAGCAGGGGACAATCATGTAGCCTACAATACCACAGCAAGCGTTGAAATTTATTCTAATTGCAATAGTTTTAAAAAGTTTTAAGCATGACAGTGACTTGACCTAGTTACTTATGACTGAGGTTGCTATGTAGAAAATGGACTATAATGAGACCAGTCAAGAGACTCATGCAGCAATCCCGATGAGAGATGAGGGATATGACAGTGGAGATGGTAAAAGTTCAGATTCTCAGGAGACAATGTGACTTACTGATGGATGAAGGTTATGAGAAGAGGAATCTAGTTTGATGCTTAAAATTTCTGAGCAAACAGGTAAGGAATTACACTATTTATTGAGAAAGGAAAAGTTCATTTCTACATTGATAATTTGAAACTCTAAATACATCCTTCCATTGAAAAACTATTTAAAATAATGGCTAAATTCCTGGGCCAATTTACAAAAATATAACGTGAAGTAGAGCTGAAACTAATTAAAAAGCAGCCTAAGTTCTGAGGATCAAATGAAACCAGTAGGAGCAAAGCAAAAAGACTGGAGGTTTCCATCTCTGGGTGGCTCCTGCAGTAGCACTCAGGGAATAAGCCTTAGGAAGGGGAGGTGGGGCTTCAGCCTCAGCTACTCTCATAGGAGAGGAAGAGCTCAGGCAGCAGAGGTCCTGACATCCAGCTGCTTAAGGACTTTTACTTGTGCAGTATTCAAAGACAGCTGTATTGCTGATATCTCAAGTCAAATGATCCTCGGGCATCTCAAATTTAACGTATCTGAAAGTTTATGAAACCACCAACTATTCTTCCTAATATTTTCTAAGTTTTGTGGCTGCCAGTACCACCAGATATGCAGTCCCTAAAACTAGAAATATGGGAGTCATCCGAATGTTTCTGCTTTTCATCTACCCCTCATTTTTTATTTATTTGAAAGGCAGAGGGACAGAGAGCTTTTACCTGCGGGTTCCCTTCCCAAATGCCTGAATTAGCTGGGGCTGGGCCTAGCCAAAGTCAGGAATCAGGAGCTCCACCCAAATCTCCAACATGGATGGCAGGAACCCAAGTCCTTCAGCCACCATCTGCTGCTTCATGTGTGGCAGTCATATGTGGCATGTGGTTATCCTAAAGCTAAGTGCATTATTCTCCCCTACATGCATTACGAGGCTGTTGTATATGGGATAAGATTATCCTGTTTAACTGGCTGCACATCTGCCCCTCTTATCAGTCATTACATCATGTCAATCCTAACACCTAAATTTATGTCCTACATAGTATAGCAGTAGCCTCGATTGCTGTCCTCTATGCCAATTCATATTTCACTCCACACTGCCAGCAGTCACCTTCTAGAATACCTGTAATTTCTTTAAAAAAAAAAAAAAAGATTTCATTTATTTGAAAGACAAAATTACAGAGAGGTCTTCCACTGCTGGTTCACTCCCCAAATGGCTGCAACAGCCGAAGTTCAGCCAGGAACTTCCTCCGGGTCTCCCATGTCGGTGCAGGGGCCCAAAGATTTTGCTGCCTTCCCAGGCGTATTAGCAGGGAGCTGGATCAGAAGTGAAGCAGCAAGGACTAGAACCAGCACCCATATGGGATGCCTGTGCTATAGGCCTGGGCTTTAACCTGTTGCACCACAGCACCAGCCCTTGTAATTTCCTTCTTAAAATCCTTCAATGAGGAGCAGGATATTTGTCCTAGCAGTTAAGAAACCTGCATCCCACATTAGAGTGGCTGGATTTCACTCCTAGCTCTGGCTTCTGCCGCCAGCTTTACACCAATGCAAATCCCAGAAGGCATCAGTGATGGCTCAAGTAACTGGGTCCCTGTCACCCACATGGGAGACTTGGACTGAATTCCTGGCTCCCAGCTCTGGCCCAGGCCTGGCCATTGTAGACATCTGGGTAGTGGGGTGGGGTGGGGTGGGGAAGGGATCTCATCTCTGCTTGTCAAAAAACAAAAAGCCAAAACTCTTTATTAGTTGCCCATTGCCTACAGTATAAAATCTCAAGCACTTCAGGATGGCATACAAAACCATATGGAATCCCCAACTACCTGATCATTTCATTTTTTACAACTCTCTATTCATTACATACCCAAAACTCTATCTGTACCAAATTAAGGCAAGCCATATCATCAAGCATGTTATTTCAGCACCCTGTATGCCTCTGTGTGGGAATGACAGCCCCTTGTTGCCTTCCTCCCATGAACACATTTACCTATCTAAAAATTCATGTTTATTCTTTAAACCCCATCTCACTAATGACTTCCTTGTTTCTTAGGCAAGAGAACTGTACTTCAATGTAACACTCACTAGTCTGTAATTTAAGTCTATTTTTCGCTTCCAAACTGAGCTATGTCAATAGCCGGAGATACTGAAGTGTTTTTCCATGTGCTCTGTATATAGTATGTGCTCAATCAACAGTAACTAAATGAATGAATGAATGTATCAACCACTGGTTTAAAATACCCATTAGTGATGTGCTGCGTCAAGTTCTTTCAGGTATATTTTGTGGTTCTTCAATATCCTTACTTTTTGTACCTGCACATTACATCAGGCTTGACACTACAATGTGACTAGTGTGGTTACATGAGTGTGTCATGACTCCAAGTCATATATCACTATGAACAAGGAGAAGGACAACATACTAGTCACTTCTTCTCTCTCCCACCCCATCCCCATGAGCTGTGGTTATCACAAGGTTTAATACACTGTGAGGCCTGGTACATGAATTAGTTTCCTACCTAGCCCCCTCCTTAGGTGTGAAGTGAAGACTGTTTGGCAAAGATTTTATTGGGCAAAGATAAAGGTAGAATATCCTTGCAATGGGGCCACAGCTGAAGGGAATCAAAGATTTCTGGTGTCAGAACTAGCACTTCCCTAACCTTCAGGAAAAGAAAGCTAACGTTCACATTCACTGACTTAGCAGAATAGGTGGAAATATGGGAGGGAAATGTGACAGTCAACAAAATGTACAAACAGCCTGAGAATCTCTAGTTAAACCTCTTGTAAGATAAGATAACCCTAACATCTGGTATGCCCCATGAGTCTAACATAATAGCTATTATTTATTAGGCATCTACTCTATGCCAGATACCATTTTAAGATATTTTACAAGCATTAGTCTAACCTTTAGAAGCATCTTTTGTAGGATTATTTCTATTTTGCAGATGAGAAAATGGAAGCTTAACAATGCTTGGTAACTTGTTCATGTCACACAACTAGCAGATTTCGAGAGTTAGAATTCAAAGGTGGCTATTTCTGTTGTACCATCAGAGAGAAAAAGTCTTCCAGTTACCTGCTTTAAATCTAGACACTTTCTTTCAAACTGGAATGTGGTTTGCTCTTGCTTATTGAAAAGACTTTAGATTTTCAATGACCACAAATCCAAAATAATACTACCTATTAATCATACATTCTCCTATCAGTTTTTCTTATGCCACACTCACCTTGCCCCCTATCCGGACCTGAGCCTGAAGTTTGGCTAACTTTTCTTGATTCATGCTGTTGGTAAATCTAGGGGGGGAAAAATAGATTTGTTAAAGTCACCGTTTTACCAAAATTAAAAAAAAAAACAAAAAAAAACAGTACTGCTGGTTCACTGAGCTAGTAATATGCATCAACACCATGGTCATATTGTCTGTATTCTCAATAAATATTAATAACTTGTTCTAGCTTCATAAACCAGATATATTTTAAAAGTCTAAATTAAAATAATACCACAAAGGAGTTGAATATACAAACAGAAAACAGAATGGAATTCAAAGCCACCTACAAATATTTAAAGATTCCCTCCTTAAAACATGATTCAGTAAAACCTAATTAATTATGAAATCTCTATGGGCATGCCAGGTTTTTCCCCCAAAGATTTTTACAGCAGAGAGCTGTTACTAAAGTTTATTAGCAAAACCTCCAAATACATTATTTTCTCCCAAATCATATTCTGTTGTTCTTACAAACCATAATTTTTAAAAACTGGCTGGACAAAGGAATTCAACAATAGGTTGTCTAGCTGTCAAAATATGAGCTAGTCATGTCCTTTATTCAAGGTCAGATGTTATGTTAATAACAGGGAAACAGAAGCAGATTTCCAGACATTTGGTGCTTCAGCAGCACTCCAGAATTCACTCATTACCCTGCACTGATACAGTATGCCATATTCATCAAGATTTCCTTGCATTTTGAGTGAAATGCTTCATTGCACAATCTGACAAAAACATCTCTCTGCTACAACAGTGAATTTAGAGTTAGATGGAAGACGCCTAAAAATAAGCTTTTCAAAGCTAATTTTGACTTTGAAATTTCCAAGAACATTATAAAGTCATGAATCCTAGTCTGGCCCGTGACATTCCTACTGCGGAAAAAAGTTCTTAAGTTTATAATGGGTCATAACATTCCACACTAAATAAATAAATATAAGTCAACTTAAAAGTCCTGTTTTACTTATTCAGTCAACAGATCATTACTGAGATGCAATGGAATAAGGGACGAGGTTGTTATCAATTTTTTTTTTGTCCAGTCCTCTAACCCCTGTAAAATCATCAAATGAGAAAGATACTGTTTTCTTCATTTGAGGAAGGGGGTAAAAAAAGAATCAAAGATAAATAATTACTAACCATTCTGTTTGACATTGTACTTAGATACTAACCTGTATGTATCTCTGCTTTAAGGCTAAAGTTCAGTTCCCAAATAACATTTAGAACCTATGATTCCTCACTCTTAGCACTATATCACAATCATAATATTTAAGTAGCTAAAACCACTTTTAAGAGGAAGTGAGTTCAGAGTCTAAAACAAAAAGTATTAGAAATGTACCAGTCTTAGCTCTGCCAGACTTAAATTCACTGAAGTAAATGTCAATCCCTATACTCAAGTATCCTTAAGAAAAGGACCAATATTCACTTTTCCCCAAGGGATGTGGCCATGAAGGTATTCTGGGGAAAAAAATGGGGGGGGGGGGCTAAGGAAGCTTTTGTAAAAAAAAAAAAAAAAAGCAGCTACATGAAAATATTGAAACTATACACAGGGCAAATCCTTTCTGGACTCTTCTTCCTTTTGAAGAACAGTCCTTGACAGAAGAGATGGAGGATGATACGTCAAGGCAGAGTCTTGACTCATAAAAGCAAGAACGAAATTAACTCTATATATCAACGTGTAGATGAAGAACAGATTCCACTCCAAGTGGTCAGGCCAAAAGAAGGGAGAAATCTTACTCCCGAAGAGTATCTCAGAGAAAAAGCATTTTAGGGAAGTCGGAAGCACAAGGCAGTAGGGAAAGCCGGCCGGTGACCTTTTGTCTGAGCAAGCTGGGGCATGTGTACTTCAAGCAGGAAAAAGGATCAGGCTCAGTCTAAGAGAGACGTAAAGCTCAGGATCTGAAGCAGACCTCAAAGATCTCCTGGTTTCATCCCCTACTCTTCAATCTTTACTGCACCATCACTTACATGAGGCCGTCTCAAATACCTGCTTTTTAGCAGCAAAGTGTAAATTACAAACAGTTCACCTCCATCCCAGTTTAACAGATTAGGAAGTGAGAGCTTGACAGGAAAAAGGTACCTTTCAGGGCCCAAAAGGTGGAAGTGATTTCCTAAGGCAAAGGGTCTTTCAGTACGTCGTTCTTCAAGGACTCAAGAAAGGGTGTAAGTTAAGAGGTTAATCAGTATTTACTGAGTGCCTAAGTTCCCAAGCATAGTGAAAGGCACTTTCACATACATTATGTTTGCACTGAGATAAAAGTAACTTCAACCTTTAGTCCCAACTTTTATTACGCGAGGTTTCTCCAAGAAAAAGGCACAGGTCTTGGAATCAGAAAGGCTAAGGCATCGGAAGGGTATTCTACTGTACTGAACTTGTGTTCCTCCTGCATGAGGGAAGGTGTACCACCACCTACTTCACAGGATTGTTTTGAGCGCAAAAGGCTAGATTATCAAGCACAGGGTACACAGTAATTGGCAACTATTGTTACCACTTCCGAGAGGACGGCTAAGCTAGAGTGAAAGAACGTGGGAACGGAAGTTGAAACCGCCATTCACTGGCTGTGAGCACTGCCTGTCGGTCAGTGATGTGGTTATGAAGATGGGCAAGGTAACGTTTCAAAGGGGAGGCAGACTTGTAAACAAATACTGCCATCACAAGGTGACGAGCGCGGCAAAGGAGTTCGGTCCCAACAGCTTGGAAGCTGGACGTGCTAACCTCAGTCTCCCTATCTGTAGACTGGGAGGAGCAAAAGAGATGACAGCAGGCCAGCTTTCTATAAGGCTCAAAGCTCGCAACACTGTTGTTGCGAATAATGAGCAGCAATGGCACAGAACAGGGGGCGTCCCCCGCCTTCTGGGACTGGATCTGGGAGGCAACAGCGCGGAACCGCTCGCCTCCACAGGAAGCGGTGGTGCTGGGTACCTTCCCTCAGGTGCCGACCCCCAGCTCCGCCGCCGGTAACCGACAGGCCAAACCAGCCGCCTCCGCCCCCACTCGCCGCGCCACGGCGGAAGTGGCAGTCAGAGCGGTTGGCGGGTGTCGGAAGAAGAGGGCGGGGGAAGACCGTGCGTAGCGGCCTATGGCCGTGTAGTGGCGGGACTGCCGGGGGTCTCACCTGAAGCAAGGAGGGTCCTCCAACACCAGCACGCGGCAAGAGCAAGATGGCTGCCTCAGCTAGACAGAGAAAGACGACCGCGGCGGTGGCGGCGGGAGCAGGGCCCACGTGACACAGTCGGCCCGCCTCTCCCTCTCCGGAACGGCCTATCGCGGGAGTGCAAATCCGAACTACAAAGCCCAGCGTGCTCTGCGCGTGCCTAGCTTGCTATTGGCTGCAGGTGCAGGTGGCCGCGCTGCATCCTGGAGCTCGCAGTCTCCAAAGCGTTCTATTGTGTCGGCTCTTATAATTTGTAGGGAATCTAATAAAATAAAGGGCGGTGTGTGGTTTCGTTTGGGTGTGTACTTCTGTTCCAATATATCTCACTGTGCAATAAGTAAGCATTGTTTGGACTCAACTAAGTACCAGGAGGAAGATGGGAAAATTAATGTTTTCGCAACACAAGGGGAAAAATGGGAAGAAATATTCAACTCATAACAAAAATAGATTTAACCAGAAGAAATTTTACACTTTAGATGCTTGCAGTGACTTATGTCCTGGTTCCCTAGGTCCACCTCAATCAGTTTTGCAATAAGAGGCACCAAGTTTGGTTTTCTTGGAGCTTACATCAGTTGATTGCATCATCCTCGAGTGGAAGACTTGTGATTTTGCAAGGGAGTGAAGGTCCAGCGCTTCTTCCCTAACGGGTAAGGGCATGCCTGGAAGGCACGAGACCGTGCACCGCAGAAGGGGTTTGCCAGGTCTCTTCAGAGACCGGAGTAGGAACTTACAATGACATCCAGTTGTCCATCTTTTACTTGGGGAGCAGTAAGGGGAATCCGAGGCCGGAGGGCAACCTGCCCAGTACTGGGAGCGTCCAACCAGAGCGATCAGTAATTTGCATTTTGAATATTAAGTACAGCGGTTCTAGGGGGGAGGGGCCAGCCTGGCTGGCAGACGCGATCAGCAACGGTTCTCCCGAATCTCTTCCCCGCCCCCACTGTCTCGGTCCACCTTTTCCTTTTTCGGTCACCCGACAGGGACATCCAGAATCCAGAGAAAGCTACTCGAGATGGAGAGCTACTCGCGCACCCTATTACGTGACCTGTACCTTTAAACTCTTTCCATTTCCATCCGGACCCCGGAGGCACCACCCACATCCGTCTAACATCACTTCCTTCGGACTTTGGAAAAAAAAAAAAAAAAAAAGAGAGAGAGACACACACAGACAATCTGGGAACGCGAGGGGTTGAGCGGAGCCGTGCTTGGGGAGCGGTGTGAGCTGTCTGCTCGGCACCGTGGTCCCGCGCACCTACCACCGTGGAGATGCAGGCTCGTCTCGGGGCCACCTGTTTGCTGGGCTTCAGTTTCCTGCTCCTGGTCACCTCTTCTGATGGACACAGTGGGCTTGGAAAGGGTCAGACCGCGTTCTTTTCTTATCTTTGCTGATCCCGGGCCCCAGCCCGGTGTAACCCTTTTCTTGCCCTAACACCGCTACCCTCTCCTTCTGCCTCTTAGGGCACCCTAAATCTCTCGTTAGCTCCCCAACCGCTCCTGGAGTTTGAAGATAATTTGGAGGAGGGAGTAGCAGGTCTGAGACACACGGTGGGGAGTAGTGCTTGAGGCCTCTGACTTCGTGGATTGGAGGGAGGAAGAGCCTTTAAATTAGGAAAAGTAAAAGAACCAGGCCTGGTGCTTAGCACTTTTTTAGGTCCTCAGGAATGGCCACCTTCCCCCTTTAGAGAAATGGAGCCATTTCGGACCTGTATATGCGGACTCCACTGCCTTGAATCTGGAGATTGGCTTCTTCTCTCCCCGGAAGAGCTGGGTTACCCCCTCCTGCTCACCCTGGAGAGACAGCACCTGCACCCCAGTGAGATGCGTCTGGTATATAAGAAAGGAACAGATGAAGGGTGGAAGGTTTGTTGTTAGAGGGTTGACCACACTTTTCTTTCGCGTGATTCAGCCAGTGTGTCATAAGAAACTGAAAATTTGGGGGGGGGGGGGGAGTGATGCATTAGTGGTTATGAATAGAAGTTAGGAGGTGTGACCCTCCCTCCCTCCATGCCATGACCTTCATCATTCTAATCTTGAATGCTTTTCTCTTCAGCTCTTCTGTAGTTGAAAGTGGATTGACTGTGTAAGCGCAGGGTTTATGCTTTTCTAAATGGGTAGGCTGTGGCATAAATCCCAAACACCCTTCCATTTTTTTTTTTGTACTGACCTTACTGTATTGAATAATTCTGCAGTTGTTTTTTTCTTCTGTTATCCTATGTATGCATTTATTGGTGGGTAATGAGATTGGGAGTTCAGTACGCCTGAAAGCTGTCACTCTTTCATTCAGTAAATAGTGTTTGATCTCCTGCCACAGTTCAGAAACTGCCCTAGTGGCTGGAGATATAGCAGTGAACAGGACAGACAAGGTTACTGCTCCTGAGGAGCTCATACTCAAGCAAGACAGAATAAAGTGGGCTCATGAACAAAGTAATAGGCAAGACAGTTCTGAAGAAAATGAAACTGTTACAGAGTAGCAAGTGGAAAACCTGGGGAGGATGAGGGAACTGACATTATCTGAGTTAGGAGGATCAGGGAAAACTTTGCTGAGTAGATAATGTGTGCATTTCAATCTCAGTGGTGAAACTACACCGAGTCCCTCTAGGCCGGTGTCTGGTTTTGTCTTTTTTTTTTTTTTTTTTTTTTTTTTTAAGATTTATGTATTTATTTGGGAGGCAGAATTAGAGAGAGAGAGAGGGAGGTAGAGATAGAGAGAAGTCTTCTGTCCACTGATTCACTTCCTAAATGGCTGCAACAGGCGGAACTGGGCCGATCCATAGGCAGGAGCCAGGAGCTTCTTCCAGGTCTCCCTGGAAGGGTGCAGGGGCCCAAACACTTGGGCCATCTTCCACTGCTTTCCCAGGCCATAAGCAGCAAGCTGGAAGAGGAGCAGCTGGGACTTGAACCAGAACCTTATGGGATGCCGATGTGGACGTTTAGTCCACTATGCCACGGCACTGGCCTCTGGGCCAGTGTTTTAAATACTGATGATCCCATTATAAAACTATTTTGAAAACAGTTGTAATATTGAGGAGATAGAAGAGTATAGTATTAAGAATGTGGGTTTAGATCTGAGTTTTAACTTGTTCTACCACTGCCCAGCTGAGTGGCCTTGGGCACATTGCTTAACCCCTCAAAGCTTCTGTGCCTCATCTGCAAAACGACGTAATAATAACTACCTCAGATCTTCAACAAATAATTCACTCAGTTACCGTGCTAGGTGTAGGCAGTATCTGAAGGCATGTATGCTGTATCTATTCCAAGTTCTGTGTAATTATTCTAATTACTATTGTTGCATAATAAATCACCTCAAAATTTAATGGCAAAAAGAAGCGCGAGTGTCTTGTGAGCCTGTGGATAGGAATTTGAAGGAGGCACACTGGGGAAGGCTTATTGCTGTTGGGTGACATCTGTGATCCTAGCTCAGCTGGTTACCTCTTTGTGTGATCTTTCGGCACGGGCAAGTGTAGGCTTCCTCACAGGATGGCAGCTGTATTCCAGGAGTGAGTGCCACAAGAGAACAAGGCAGAAATGAATGCTGTTTTTATCATCTGGCCTGGCAAGTCCCAAAGCATCACTTTTACCATACTCTGTAGGGGCAGATTCAAGGAGGAGGGGTACTGACATCCCCACTTGCATCCTCATTGGGAGATATGTTGAGGTCCGGTTGTAAGAAGAGCTTGTGGGATGGGAGATACTGTTGCAACCAGCTTTGGAAGATGTGGTCTGCCAGAATGAGCCAGGGCCATTTCTGTCATGTTCATGCTCAGGAATAACTGTTCGAAGAACAAATGAGTGGTAAACATTATCATTGTGGTCCCTGTCCTTTTTCAGCTTACAGGCAGGCAAGATACCAGGACAAGTAAGCAGACAATTGTGTGACTGCAGGATAGGTAATTTAAGCAGAGATATACAGGTAACTGCAGGAGCACTTAGAAGGGCAGCCTGGCTTAGGGAGTTATGAAGATTCAATGAAAAAACAAAAGGCTCTTCATATTGTGCCACACACTTAAAAAGTGTTTAGTAAATGTTAACTGGTATTTCTTTTCCGTGGAAGAATAGTTATTACTAAAAGGAATTAATATTTCAACTTTTGTTTTATGTATCTCTTCAGTATGGATTCTTAGGAAAATAGATTATACCCCACCCACCCCATTTCCCAAAAAAAAAGTGCTGTCCAAAAATCTTGATGAATGGTACTTCTTCCCAGATGTTTAAGTAGCTCTGGCTCTTTGCAGAAGATAGCCTGGTGATTTGCCGAGAGACTGAATGACTTCCCCCCACTCCCTACACTTTTTTTTTTTTTTTTTGTTAAGAAGGGAAAGCATGATGTAAAGCAGGAATGGGGGTAGGAAGTAAGAGATCCAGGTTTTACTCTTTTTTTAAAAAAATATTTATTTATTTATTTGAAAGTCAAGAGTTACACATAGAGAGGAGGGGCAGAGAGAGAGGTCTTCCATCTGCTGGTTCACTCCCCAATTGGCTGCAACAGCCGGAGCTGCGCTGATCAGGAGCCAGGAGCTTCTTCTGGGTCTCCCACACGGGTGCAGGGCCCAAGGACTTGGGCCTTCTTGTACTGCTTTCCCAGGCCATAGCAGAGAGCTGGATCAGAAGTGGAGCAGCCAGGACTCGAACCAGCGTCCATATGGGATGCCGGCACTGCAGGCGGCGGCTTTACCAGCTACACCACAGTGCCAGTCCTCAGGTTTTACTCTTGTTTTGAAAGGCAAAGTAACACACATAGCGAGGGAGAGACAGAAATAGATTCCATCCACTGGTTCACTCCCCAGATGCCTACAACAGCTAGAGCTGGGTCAAGCTGAAGCCAGGAGTCAGGAACTATCTGTCTGGTTCTTCCACTCGGGTGGCAGGAACCCAAAAACCAGACTCATCCACTGCCTTCCCCAGGCATATCAGCAGGAAGCTGGATTGGAAGCAGAGGTGGGACTTGATCCTAAACACTCGGAACTGGGATGACAGTTTCCCAAGTAGGAGCTTTACCCACTGCGCCACAACACCTGCCTTGTAGCCTTTTGTTAAATGAGGGGGTTGGACTAGAAATATTTTCTAACAGTCCTGCAAGCTCTAACTTTGTACAGTTTATAAAATAATTTCATTGCTTTCAATAAGTTAAAAATAACACGTATGGGGACAAGTGTAATGACTAACTGTCTTCTGAGCACTGTTCTGTGCATTTTCCTTGTATCAACTTTTTTTTTAAGATTTATTTTATCTCTGAAAGGCAGAACAACCAAGAGCAAGTGAGACAGAAAGAGAGATCTCCCATCTGCTGGTTCACTCCCCAAATGGCTGCAGTGGCCGGGGCTGGGCCAGGCTAAAGCCAGGAATCAGTAATGCCATTTGGGTCTTCTGTGTGCATGGCAGGGGCCCAGGCACTTGGGCCCTCCGCTGCTGCTTTTCTACGTGCATTGGCAGGGAACTAGATGGGAAGTCGGGCAGCCAGGAAGCAAACCGGCCCTCTGATATTGGGTGTAATGTTGCAAGCTGCAGCTTAACCTGCTGCCACACAATGCCAGTCCCTCAGCTAGTTTAATCTTCATGGTAGCATGGGATAGAGGATATGTTGATCATGATCCCCATTTCACAGATGAAGGACCTAAAACGAGGCACTGGAGTCACAGAGCTTGCACACGACTAGCCAGAGTACAAATCCCAGAGCCAATGGCCTTTACCAGTCCACCACTCCAGCTTCTCAGTGTAAAAACTTTTCTGAAGAGTTTAAAGGAGAAATTACAAAGTTGTCAGTGGCATGGTTCAGATGCTCTCTCTGCCTGAAACAGAATTGGATGGTTTTGTGAAATCTCTGGAATGAAAATTTGGCACTAACATGTATGTGGCATCTACCGGCTGTGTGGTGTCCTAGTTACATTCACAACACCCCTATAGAATATTTCATTAGCAATATTTTACATTTTTTTAAAATTTTTTGACAGGCAGAGTGGACAGTGAGAGAGAGACAGAGAGAAAGGTCTTCCTTTTTCTGTTGGTTCACCCCTCACTGGCCGCCGTGGCCGGTGCGCTGCGGCTGGCGTGCTGTGGCCGGCGCACTGTGCTGATCTGTAGCCAGGAGCCAGGTGCTTCTCCTGGTCTCCCATGTGGGTGCAGGGCCCAGGCACTTGGGCCATCCTCCACTGCTTTCCCGGGCCATAGCAGAGAGCTGGCCTGGAAGAGGAGCAACCAGGACAGAATCCGGCGCCCCGACCGGGACTAGAACCCAGTGTGCTGGCGCCGCAGGCAGAGGATTAGCCTATTGAGTCGCAGCACCGGCCACATTTGTTTATTTTTTAAAGCATATTTATTTATCTATATGAAAGGCAGAATTACAGAGAGAAAGATGGGGAG